GCAGCAGCAGCAGCAGCAGCAGCAGCAGCAGCAGCAGCAGCAGCAGCAGCAGCAGCAGCAGCATAAGAGGCAATATCGAATTTGTCCTTTGCAAATGTCTGGCATGCTGTAGCAGCAAGAATTAGGGTTTAGGGTTTAAACGAAAATAAAAAACAAAACTAAAGCTGACGCTGCAGCAGCCATCAGCAGCAAACAACAGACACTGCACAACCTGTAAACCCTAAACCCTAAACCCTAAACCCTAAATCTCACAGAGTATATCTTCGGCCAGTTCATCTTCACACAGCTGCAGCTCCGGAGCCAAAGTCTGCTGCAGCATCGCCTCGGGGTGTACAGACACCGCAGCAGCACACGGCACCTGAAGCGCACAAAACCCTAAACCCTAAACCCTAAACCCTAAACCCTAGAGCAAAAAGCCTTAGCCCTAATCACCAGACCCTAAACTCTAAACCCCAAACCTCCAAACCCGAAAACCCTAAACCCTAAACCCTAAACCCTAAACCCTAAAGCCAAAGGGGCTGTAGATAAGAAGATGAAGCCTCTCAGGCGTATACTGACTGGAGCAGCAGCAAAAAACAAAGAGCAGCAAATAAGCAGCATTCTCACACAAAACGAAGAGATATATAAAAAGTAGATATGAATAGAAAGAAATATAAAAGCATATAAAAGACAAAAAAATAAATACAAAGAAACCCCTCACCAGCTGTCTGCAGTGCTGCAGCAGCCGCTGACTTGCGGTGGATAATAGACCGCAGCAGCAAAACGCAGATGAAGAATCATGATTATCATTTGCTGCTGCTGCTGCTGCTGTTGCTGTTGCTGCTGCTGCTGCTGCTGTAGGCGAGTCCGCAGCAAGTGAATTCTCGGCAAGAGCGCCGTCCTCACGCTGCTTGTGCTGCTGCTGCTGCTGTTGCTGCTGCTGCTGCTGCTGCTGTTGCAGTTTGGAGAACTCCGCTTTCTGGGGCCTGATGAATGCAATGCGGAGGCGATGAAAGACATGCGCAAGTTGCTGCTGCTCCTCTTGGTCCTGCTGCTGCTGCTGCTGCTGCAGCTGCTGCGAAGAGCGGGAGCAGAGCGCCAGCAGGGCATATTCTGCTGCAAAGGAGTCTCCGTCAAAGCAGCTGCACACAAACCCCACAACTGGCAGCCCCTCAGCAGCAGCAGCAGCAGCAGCAGCAGCAACAGCAACAGCAGCAGCAACAGCAACAGCAACAGCAGCAGCAGCAGCAACAGCAGGTCTTAGGGTGTAATTGCCGCCAGACTTCGTGAGGAATTCGATGGTCTTCTGTCTCTGCTCCTTCCAGTCAAATCTAGGAGGACGCTGCAGCAGCACAACACGCATGCAAGGTCCTGCAGCAACTGCAGCAGCAGCAGTTGCTGCAGTAGTTGCTGCACCAGCAGCAGCAGCAGCAGCAGCGGCAGCAGTTGCTGTTGCTGCTGCTCATCCCAGGTCGAGAGGAGCAGCAGAAACTTCGCCAGGAGCAAAAAAGCAGCAGCGGTACCAGCAGCAGCAGCAACAGCAACAGCAGCAACAGCAGCAGCAGCAACAGCAGCAGAAATGAAGACGCACTGTACATAAAGGCACTTCGGGTATCCAGCAAGAGAGACGGCGGAATGAAAATGCATGCAGACGAGGAAGAGTAAAACTCTTCTCCATTCGGCTACCCCTAACCCCACAACTGCATGCAGCAGCAGCAGCAGCAGCAGCAGGTGCAGCAGCAGCAGAGCATGGAGAAGAGGCGAAGTCGGACGGTGATAGAGAAGAAGCAAAATAAATAAACCCTAAAAAGCAAACAGAAAAACAAAACTCGCAAGACAAATACAATAAACAAAAACAAATAAACAAAACAAATAAATAAACAAATAAACAAATAAACAAATAAACAAAATAAAACAAAACAAATAAATAAATAAAGCAAATAAACAAAATAAACAAAATAAACAAAGAAACTAAATAAAAAAACTAACTTAAAAAATAAATTAGATTAAAAACAACTAAATTAAATAAACAAATAAATAAATTAAATAAATTAAATAAATTAAATAAATTAAATAAATTAAATAAATAAATAAATTAAAAGGCTGACCATACACCTGAATGACTTCGTTCAACCGAGGCAGCGCATTTCCCTCTTCGGGGTAAAACAAAACAATACACTCTCGCAAAGACAGCAACTGCTGCTGCTGCTGCTGCTGCTGCTGCTGCTCTTGCTGCTGCTGCTGCTGCTGCTGCTGCTCCCACCAGGGTGCAGCACCGGGGATAAGGGAGCAGCGGTAGGCGTGGCGGCTCCATAAGACAGAGCGGCTGCCAGCAGCAGCACTCTCAGGCAAAGACTCTCTGCAGCAGCAGCAGCAGCAGTAGTAGTAGTAGTAGTAGTAAACGCACAGCAGCAAAAAAATATTCTGTCAAAGGCTAAAGCAGCTGCACAACGCGCAGCCTAGTGCAGCAGCAGCTATTGCAGCAGCAACTGTTCAAGCAGCAGCAGCAGCAACAGCAGCAATAGAAGCATATACACCTTCGGCACCAGCAGAATCAGCAGAACGAGCAGCAGCACTAACAGCAGCAAGAGCATCAGCAGCAACAACAGAACAACAACAGCAGCAGCAGCAACAGCAGCAGCAGCAGCAGCAGCAAGAGGCTGACCTAAATTTTGAAGACTCCCACTTGCCTTTGTTGCAGACGGCACCCACAAAACACTCGGAGTTCAATGGCTGAAGCAAAATTAAAAAAAACAAAATTAATTAAAACAAAAGAACAATAAATACTGCTGCTGCTGCTGCTGTTGCTGCCGTTGCTGCGGTTGATACTGTTGCTGTTGAAGCTGCTGCTGCTGGCAATACTGCTATTGCTGCAGCAGCTGCTGCAGCAATAGGGTACATGCAGCGTTATAAGTTAAACCAGCAGCAGCCGCTGCTTCACAACGGGAGGTGCATAAAAAGCTGCTGCTGCAGCAGCAGCAGCAGCACCAGCAGCAACAGCGACAGCAGCAGCAGCAGCAGCAGCAGCGACAGCAGCAGCAGTTGCTAACCTGCCTAACGAAGCAGAGAAAGCTACAGACGACTCCATCTTGCAAAGGCAAATGCTCCTGAAAGACCCACAAACAAAACCCTAAACCCTAAACCCTAAACCCTAAACCAACACGCAAATAAACAAACAAATGGATAACTAAACAAGCAAATAAGCAGACAAATAAATAAGTAAATAAATAAATAAAAATAGAAAATAAACAAACAATAAAGGCGCCCACTAAATACAAAGACAGCAAAAATAGAAACGACGCATATAAACAAAACAAAAGAAAAAAGTATAAATAAATAAAAATAAATAAATAAAAGAGGTATTAACAATAAAAACATATAAACATCAAAACAAACACAAAATACAATTGATAGACAAACGACGGAGATACAAACAACAGAAACAAAAACAAGGGAGACAAATAATATATATATATATATATAATTATATATATACATATATATAATTATAAATATGTATATATATATATATATATGCATCGATTTATAGATATCTACTTCTGTATATTTTTCTATTGACATTATATATGATACCAATATATGCATATATATACATATGCATCTATTTGCATTATATATATATATATATATATATACATCTATTTGTATTATATATACATATATATATAATTAAGAAAGAAGCATTAGAAGCAACCGGAGTGAAGACTGCGTCTGACTTTTTTTAACTGATTTAAATTCAAGAAGAGAGAACTCCCCTCAGGAAAACGCCGCCTTAGCTCTGCAACGTCGCCCCTGCAGCAGCAGCAGCAGCAGCAGCAGCAGCAGCAGCAGCAAAAACAAGGTGTGTTTCTGCGAGCTTCACTAATGTTTCTTTGTCTCTGTATGATTAGAGCAAAATAAACAAAAAGTTTTTGCATGCATTTTGTTATACCTCTCTCGTATATATGAAAAAATAAAAAAAAACGAAGAAGAAGCTGCTGCCTACCAGTGCTTTGGCGGGTCCACCTCTGTTGCTGTTGCTGCTGTTGCTGTTGCTGCTGCTGCTGCTGCTTCAGAAAAGGAATCCTGAATAGCGCGCAGCGCCTCAGCTGCAGCAGCAGATGCTGCTGCTGCAGCTCCTGCTGCTGTTGCTTCTGCTTGTAGTGGAGTTCCTGTGGTGTGCATTGTTGCTGCTGAGCTCTAACAGCGGCTGTTGCAGACAAAGAAAAGAAGAAGAAGAAAAAAAAGAAGTTCGGAGGCTCGTTTGGGCTCAGCCGCAAGAATGTTATGGTGAATAATCTGCCTTTATTCGCAAAGAAGAGGTCAGAGTTCACGGTGTATAGACAGGTTCTTGCAAATTATATATTGGCGGTGGTATATACGAAGGATATTAGTGTGAGGATATTAATGTGGAAACCTGGGGCTAAAAAGGTTTATCGTGGTTTCTATGATTGAAAAAGAAAGAAAATAGATATAAATGCACCACTTTACACGCAAAAACGAAGGGAAAAATGAAGAAGATATTCAAAAAATTTTAGTTTCTTGGGGCTGTGTTGTTGCTAAAGGAGGGCTGAAGTGGTTGCGCATGAGGGCTGGCTCAGACTCTCTTCTGCGACAACTTGCGAAGAAAAGTTGGAGAAATTTCCTATTAAAAAAGCCAATTAAATTTCAATTTATTTTTTGCTTTCTTCTGAACTCAACAGCTTCCCTTAACTCCATCGGTAGGCGAAGTTTCGGGTGTACGTACACCCCAATATTTTTGAATTGTGCATATATTATCTACTGCGGAGAAACAGCATTTCGGTGGCTTTGTTCTGTTTATTAACTTCATTAGTATGGATTTTCTGTTGTTTTTTCTTTGTTTTTTCTATAGGGAGCGAATTTTACCCCTCGCTTTGCTTCATTCTTCTCGCAGCCCTGTCGCTCTCCGCTCCGTGCGTTTGCAATTCAAGTGAGACCTTCTTCTATAGAACTTCTCCTCAGACACCCGGCACTGTGCAGTAGCAGCAATAGCAGGAGCAGCAGCAATAGTAGCAGTAGCAGCAATAGCAGCAGCAGCAGCAGCAAGAAGATGAAAGCAGAAATGCGTAAGGCTGCTGCCTTACGCATTTCGTGTAGTTGGTGTGTGGAGTGTTGTAAAGGAGATATGTTTGCTGAAGCTGCATTATCTTTGTTTAAACTTTTCTTACTACGAGCAGTTTCTTCTTATACTTAATGATTGAGTTTGTTTTGTTTGTTTTTATATGATGTATGAAGCTGCTGCTTCTTTATATTTCTTCTTTTTTCTGCATTTTCTCTTCCTTTTGCCTCTCAGACACCAAAATGCTGCAGCTAAATCCTCACTTTGACTCCATTGGCCCGCAGTTTGTTCAGGTGTATTATGAAACCTTCCGCAACAACAGGTACACCGCAACCACCTCTTTATTTATATTTGCATGCATTTCTCTTGCCTCTTTTCTCTTAACGCATTCGGTTTTACAAACATACCAATGCATGCACTTGACTTGCCTATTATATGTAATATATATATATATATAAATGCATATATATATATATAAATGCATATATATATATATATATAAATGCATATATATATATATATATATATGTTGTTTTCTTCAGCAGTGATTTATGGTTTTGGTGTGCGATCCCATCTACCCGCATGCACAGCTATTTAGCATATATAGCTAGCTGCAGCTAGCTAGCTATATATGCTAACTAGCTGTGCATGCAGCTGCAGCTAGCTAGAAGCAGCAATCATCTACAGCTAGCAGCAGTTAGATGCTTCAGGACGAAACAAGGGCACAAAACACAGCACATGCATGCATGCATGCATATTAAAACATATGAATGAATGCATGCATGCATGCATGGATATTAAAAGATATGCCTGCATGCATACATATTAAGAGATATGCATGCATGCATACATATTAAATGAAACGCATGCATGCATTTATGTTGTGCGTTTGATGCGTTTGTTTAGAGCGGGTTTGGCTGAGTTGTACACTGAGAATTCTCTTTTAACTTACGAAGGCACTCAGTTTCGAGGTGCTGCAGCAATTTTGCAGAAACTGCAGCAACTGCCAGCTGTTGTTAATCATCAGCTCGTCACCTGCGACTGCCAGCCGACTCCAAACGGAGGAGTATTAATCATTGTCTGTGGTCAGCAATTAGGGTTTAGGGTTTAGGGTTTAGGGTTTACGGTTTGGAAGATGGTTGGGGGTTTAGGGCTCGGAAGTTGGTTGGGGGTTTAGGGTTTGAAGTTTGTTGCGGGTTTAGGGTTTAGGGTTTAGGGTTTAGGGTTTCAGGGGAGGGTGGCACTTGCGTGTGTATTGGATGAGTAATATTTTTTTAGTATTTATCTGTTATTTGTTTTATTTGGATATTTTGTTTGTCTGTCTTCAGTTGGGTGTTTTAAATTTTAGAGTGTATATTAACTTTAATGAATATATTGTTTTATAGATTTGTTTGTATGTGTCTGTTTTACTTGTTCATTGCATTAATATATTTGTTTCTTTTATTATTTGTTCTACTAATTCAATTTAATTAATTTAATTTAATTTAATTAATTTATTTATTTTGTTTTATTTTCTTTTCAGGCGACTTAGCCATTGAAGATAATCCACCGATGAAATTTACACAAACTTTCAACTTGGTTCCAAACGGAAGCGGCACTTACGCTGGTCTGTCTCTATCTGCATGCATGCATTTATATGCATGCATGCATTTATATAAATACATGCATGCAATTATATGCATGCATGCATTTCTATTCGTGCATGCAATTATATGCATGAATGCAATTATATAAATGCATGCATTTATATGCATGAATGCAATTATATGCATGCATTTATATGTACGAATTTATATGTATGTATTTGCATGCATGCATTTGTATGCATTTGTATGCATAATAATTACTGTTGAAATAATAATTATTATTATGCATGCAAATATGTTAGCGAGTGTATGCAAATGCAAGCGAGCTCAGATATACTGTATCTTTTTTGGTTTTCTCTTCATTATTTCGATGCTTATTATATATCTTCTTTATATTTTATTACTGCATAATATATTATGTCCCCGATATTATTATATTTATCATATGTCCCCGATATTATTATATTTATCATATGTCCCCGATATTATTATATTTATCACATAGTTATGTTTTCTTATTACTTCTGCCTCTCCATATCTCTGCATATCTTTGGTTTAATTTCTACTTGTGTTTTTGCATTAAAATGAAATCCCCGCACCCAATCCCATCTCCATATAATGCATTTTATATAATTATATATATATGCATATACAAATATGTATATATATATATATGTTGAGGTGTATATTGTTTGGGGTATTTTTCACTCTTTTTGTTTGTATGGCGCAGTTTTTAACGATTGCTTCCGCCTTTGCATCGGCTGAGCAGCAAATGGTGGAGCATACAGAGGGAAGGGCAACAGCAACAACAAACTGCAGCAGCAGCAGCAGCTGCTGCTGCTGCTGCAGCTGCTGGCTCACTGAA